TACAATTACACAACTAATATATATATATATATATATATATATATATATATATATATATATATATATATATATATATATATATATATATATATATATATATATATATATATATATATACTATATATATATATATATATATATATATATATATATATATATATATATATATATATATATATATATATATATATATATATATATATACCGGGTGTCCCAAAAAAAAGTACTCCGGTTTGATGTATAATAACTTCTAAACAAGTAAAGATATCAAACAGAAATAACTTGCATTAAATAGAGGAAGGACTAACTTAGATTTTGATATATTACAGTTGTATTTTACTTCACGGAGATATTAATGTTCAAAATCGGGAGCATATTTTGGGATGTGTCTAAAATTAGCGAAAATCGGCATATCAAATATTAACTTCAGCGTTTGTTTGCTTGATGACATATCAGGCTAACTTGTATTTCAGCGAATTGTCGTTAGGGTTTGTAAGGGATATGGCGTAGATTTAGACTTCTTATACATGTAAGCTAAGTCTTAGCTCATTGTTTCCTAAAATATGAACGTACGAAATTATGCAAGTATTTAATAGGTCCAGTGGCGGCGCCAGGCTTCCAAATTTGGGGGGGCATTTGAGGGGCAAACTCAAATTTTGGGGGGGCAAGATCGAATTTTTAAAAAGGTCGTCCCCCAGGAAATTCGCCCCCCCCCCTTCAAAACGTGGCGATATTCCTAGGAATATCGCCCCCGGGGGCGAATATCCTAGGAATATCGCCTCCCAGGGGGGTGGGGCGAATACCCTAGGAATATCGCCCCTCTTTAGGACATTCGCCCCCATATATGCGATGTGGTTTATTCAAATAATTTCGTGATACTTTCATCTTATTATTGCCTTACACGTTTGAGAATTTAACTCTGCAAAACTAAAGCTTTTTGTCTTTTTTTGAAACGTATTATTGGAGTATTGGCAAGTTTTACCATTCAGAGATTTACAAACTAATATTGAAACTGTAAAAAACAGTTTCATGTATACGCGCATTCACTAATGAGTAATGACAACTTATAAGCCATACATTTTTCGATAACGACAGAACGCTTGTGCAGCCTTTAGTCGCTCTTAGTGACTAATAATTTTTTTGGAGGGGGGCAAAATGGGGGGAGGAATAATTGGGGAGCATTTGCCCCCCCTTGCCCCACCCTGGCGCCGCCACTGATATATATATATATATATATATATATATATATATATATATATATATATATATATATATATATATATATATATATATATATATTGTTATATATTTTTTTATGTTTTTAATGGGTTCAAACAGACTGGGTAGATTATTTCTCGGTTAGAGCAGGATGAATATTCTTTATTGAAGGAAATAATATTGCTTTTTGCAAATACACATCACCGTATCAACGCTACTATTTTGTTACGTTTTGTTCCAAAAATGTTGCATGTCTCTGGGGAGTTGCTTAATTGTTATGTCTTATGGAGTTGTATGGTTTGATTGTGTTTCATTCTCAGTTTATTGTGAACTTAAAAAGATTAAGAAAAGGCAAATGAGTTTGAGTGTTCTTAACAAGATTTCAGAACATTGCAGAAGTTAGAAGAGCTTCACAATTCCATTGTGACAGCATGCCCTAATTCAGAACTACGAACGATCCATGACGATCCTTCGCGATGCAGTGGTCTCATGAAATAAGGAAACGTATTCGTGCTAGGAACACACAGAGATTTCGGACGAATAAATATTGTTTGTATTTTGTAGATAATAATACAGACTTTGTTTCATAATAAACAATTTGTCAAGTGTCATTTATTTACTGGTAATCATACATGTTTCAGTCGGGCAAATCTTGATTAATATTTGATTCGCCGTTTTTTGCATATTTCAGACACATCCAGAAATATGCTCCCGATTTTAAACATTAATATCTCCGTGAATTTTTAAGTGAAATACAACTGTAATATATCAAAATCTAAGTTAGTACTTCCTCTATTTGATGCAAGTTATTTCTCTTTAAAAGGTTTACTTGTTTAGAAGTTGTTACGAATCAAACCGGAGTACTTTTTTTTGGGACACCCGGTATATATATATATATATATTCGATATTTTTTTGTTGAGTTTTTTTCTCAAGGTCTTGCTTACTTTATTTCCTTCCACTCGTGAGCTCACTACGTGATCATAGTGATCAAACGTAGTGTCCAGGCCTTGTGACCCTGGATGGACACTTAAGGAAACCACACTGAAAACGTAAAGAATTTTATTCATTATTGATATTAAAATTACATAGTCGTGTGTACGGTTCGTTCCTCTACGGCCACGACCTCTTCTATTTCTTCCCACCCAATTGGGCTGTCATTTTCCCGTGCGTAATACAAAATGACTGAAAAACGTCAAACTTCGCTAAGCTATATTATCTGCATTTTACAACTTCGCAACGAAACTTTGGAATATTACTAATTTTGTGATGCTCTTTCAAGCTGTGATGAAATTTTTGTCTAGATCAAAATTTAGTCTATAATGCAAATGGTCCATTAAAGTATCTTGAGAAATTATGAAGAATGGCCTTAATCCCAAGTTATCGGGCATTTTGTATTTTTGTTCATGAAATTTGGTAAAGTTAGTAAGTGCATCTAAGCAAACATTTTGTTGGTTGTTATAACACACTAGTTATCGAATCTCTCTGTCCTATTTGTCTAATTTTTTGCTTCCAACAAAAAAATGAATTTTTGTGATTTCCATTTATTATTATCATTTTTATAGGTACTGCCGTGGTGAATATAAACTGTTCAAGTAAATAGAACTTTTATCCCAAAGTGTCTGCAGCAGACATTACTAAAATAAGAAAAGAGAGACCTTGCTGTGACATCATAATGACAACCACATAAACATTCCAAAATGTCTGCTTATATAGGTGTACTTACTAACTGTGCAAAATTTCATTTAATTTTGTTGAATCACTTCTGACAGAGATATTTGTTATTAGACTTTCTTCGTGTTCCTGCCATCTTATAAGCACAACTAGTGACGTCATAACAAAAATACAAAACATGGGAACGAGATGAGCTGTCAATAAATTATTGTTAATAAGGCCATTTTTCTCATTCTCAAGGTACTTTGAAATACTGCATAAAAAAGTGGGAAGAGGCCGGGGGGATTTCGTGTCATATGCATTTTAACAACTGAACATAATATGGAAATCATATTTGCATCACTAAATCCATAGTATATCCACACTGTTATACTAGCTAATACTAATTCCATACTAAATCCAACTACGATTTCAACGGTATAGACTCATACTGCGCTATTTTCATAGCTAAGCCAAAACATTTCCAGTGATAGGTGTGTCTGAATTTCAGATATCCCCATAATACAATTCAACTATTCAAGTGTTTCAAAATCATGTCCAGAACCTATAAGGATCAGTGTCTGAGAATTCAGACTCCCTTCTAGTTCAAGTGCTTCAATGTCTCAAAGAAAGATTAGGGGTGTCTGAAAATTCAGACTTCCTTATAATTCAAGTGCTTCAAAGTCTTAAATGAAGATTAACTACAAAGGGGGTTCTGAATTTCAGATGAATATTTACAACATATAGGGGATCAGGGGTGTCTAAATTTCAGACACCCTATAATTCAACGGTTCTTCAAAGTCTCAAATTGAGATTAACCGAATCAAGAGTTTCAAAATGTCAAATGAAGATATAGACTTTAGACCCATCAATTGTTATATATTCATCAATTGACATAGAAATTGATATAGAGTTTGGAATTTTGTACTATTTATAGTAATTGACATGTTTTAGGGATAACAAATATAACAGAAATGCCGAATTATAAGGTTGGGGAGAGCCCAAGATGTAGACGCTTTGTTATTTCTCAGTTCACGAGCTTGTGGTGAGACTTGCAAGCCGTCTAAAACATACTGCAGTTCTCCAAGATGGCAAACAGATCATTACGTTAAAATGTACAATATAGCTGAAAAGCTACATCTCGTGATAATGTAGCCTGCGTGCAGCTGGCGATTAGTTAAGGAGGGGTTGTATAATACAACCCCTTAAAATTTATAAGGGTTTGTAGCCTGCTCACACAGCCTGGAATAATGGGTTTGAGCGAAAATTAGGAGGCTAGTGATACGTGATACATGTGGCAGACGTTTTGACGTGTCGGCTTTTAAACTAGTGAAAGTGTAAACAAAATGGCCCGATTATTCATTGTTTTATTTTTATTTTGTTCTAATTACAATTAAATACTAAGTAGAAGAAAATTTTAATGAGTACTTTAAAAAAAGATTGTGAACGGCAACCAGAGGCAGAGGAGCCGAAGCTTTCGAGCTGGTTGTCGCAATGTTAGAATAATATAAGCCGACATGGCTATGCCTATACGCGTACAGAATAACTCATGAACCCAGGTGCTAAAAGACAAGTTTACATTGATAATTAATAAACTAGTTGATATTAATCGTATTTATTCTTGATTATTAAGCAAGTGTTTTTATACTTCCTTTTAAATATATTAGAGGGCAGTAACTTGAGAGACAGAGGTATAGATTCCCATAACCGAGGGAACATTTAAATGTAAATTTATACCATAATTAGTTCAAATCCTAGCTCCATAATAATTATCTTGGGATGCATATCTTGTATAATGCGAATGAACACTAGATGCAGGTTTAAATTAAAGAAATCTGAAAATAAATCTGGTTTCGTATTTGACTTAATTAAATTTTCCAACTTCAAAATCCCAAGTAACTTGAAATATGGACTAAGATCCTCTCGTAACTTGCAAAGAAAATACATCTGATACATTTGTTAAATTTTGAAGATAATAGCCAATAGGTTAAGATTAGTTTTGTACGTAGTCCCCATGCAGCTCAAGATAGATTCATAGATCAAGTACGGATAAATAAGACTATAATAGGCTACAGATTACTTAGCATTGAAAGTTTAAGATATCGCCGTAGGTGATACAATATTCCTATGTTTTTAGATACTTTATTTTTAACATATGAAATCTGAGTATTCCATTTATGATGTTGATCAATGTAGACTCCCAAATATTTATGCAGCTTTTTTTATTGATATTTAGAATATCAATTTGAGTATTTTTCTTATAGGAATTGAAGTTAATATTAGCATGCAGTTTTTTTTTAATTAATTGAGAGCTTATTTAATGTTCAGTACTGATAAATTTTTTTTAGTTCCTCATTGATGGTATTTTGGAGAGCATTTGGTGTTTTTGAAGATGTTGTGATCAATCCGGTGTTGCTGTATGATGAGTAACTCTAGTTGGTTTTATTATTAGTTATTACTATCGATTTATCTTATTAAATTCCATTCAATTTTGTCCTAATCTTCCATTCTTATTCTAACCACGCATACAGAACTGTAAATCATATATTGCAAACGAGTTATAGACGACTAAAAGTTTAAAACAAGAATTTCAAAAACAATAGTAATATATGAAACTTTCAAAAAGTTACCGTACATTTTAATATGGCAACAACTTATTACAAATTTGCCACAACAGGAACAACAGTTCTGTAATGTGTAGGTTATTATTATTATTATTATTGGTAAAGCTAAGGTAACAAAGAAAATAATTAGAGCTGCTGCATGGTATAATAGCTAAAATACGACATTTCGTGAACCGAAATGCATTAAAACTGATATATTATGCATTAGTCTATCCATATACTTGTTTTTGGCCACTGAGAAAAATCGTATTTAAACACACGTAAAAAATACGATACTTTTACGTGTGCAAATATCATTTGTTGTAAAATGCATTGCCACGGACGTTTTATTGTTTTTCACTGAATTTTGTTTATATAATAAACAGAAAAATACATGGAATCTGGTATTTCCGCGCACCCATGTATTATTCTCTATATATAATACGAAATTTCCCCCTTCTTTTTCTCTTTTGAGTTTTGTACATATATAGTACATATACGTCAAAACTTTCTGATTTTACATATTATATTTATAGACTGTAAATAATTGATTATGCATATGTGCATGATCTATCACAAATGAACAGTAACTAGAGGCCTAAATAAAAAAGTCTATGAAGATTTCTAGTAGGTCTCTAGCCCAAAATCTTTAAATTATTGTAACATATTTTAAGTAGCTTTTTTATGCATGGGAAAACAATTAAAAAAAAAGAAAAGGTTTTACAGTACGAGTTGTGCTGAACGTGACACGTAAACGGCATAGTGTGACAGTTTAACTTTTCATCCTCGTTAATGGTGCTGGCAACTTAGAATTATATTCGACTTTTTTGGCATGTCCATAATCCTGTCTATTGATATGACTTGTGCCTACAAATTTCCTTCACCTCAACTTTCATGTAATCAATATCGTCTTCGTCATGTTCAACAGGATCTTTACGTTTCGTCTTTTTCTTATCCTGATCAGTCGAGGTCACGTTTTGTCGCAAATCTTGCTTTATTTGGTTTATAGTATCTGAACTGCTCAGTTCAGATGTAGAATCATTCTCTTGCGAATCACTACTTATAGGTTGACCATAATTTTTGAACTGACTATCAATTTTGGGTTTACCATCATTTTTGTATTGACCACCATCTTTTGGTTGACCATTATTCTGGTGTCGACCACCGTTTTTGAAGTGACCATTATTATTTTTATATTCACTATCGTTTTTGAATTGACCATCATTTTGGGGTTGATCATTATTTTTAAACTGACAAGCATTTTTGGGTTTACCACCCTTGTCATTCTCATCATTTTTTATTTGACCAATATTTTTGCATTGATAATTTTTGGATTGATTATCATTTTTGGATTGACCATTATCTTTGGATTGATCTTCATTTTCGGATTGACCTTTATTTTTGGATTGATCATAATTGTTTAATTGATCATCGTCATTTTTGGGCTGACCATTATTTTTGGGTTGACCACCATATTTGGGTTGACCATCATTTTTGGGTTGACCATCATTTTTGGGTTGACCACCAGATTTGGACTGACCACCATTCTTGAGTTCACCACCATATTTGGGTCGACAGCCATATTTGGGTTGACCATCATTTTCGGGCTGATCACCATTTTTAGGTTGACCATCATTTTTGGGTTGACCACCACCAATTTTGAGTTCACCACCATATTTGGGTCGACCACCGTATTTGGGTTGGCCATAATTTTTGGGTTGACCATCATTTTCGGGTTGACCATCATTTTTTGGTAGACCAAAATATTTGGGCTGACCATCATTTTTGAGTTGACCACCATTTTTAGGTTGACCATCATTTTTGGGTTGACCACCATTTTTGGGCTGACAATGATTTTTGGGTTGACCACCAATTTTGAGTTCACCACCATGTTTGGGTTGACCACCGTATTTGGGTTGGCCATAATTGTTGGGTTGACCATCATTTTTGGGTTGACCACCAGATTTGGACTGACCACCATTCTTGAGTTCACCACCATATTTGGGTCGACATCCATATTTGGGTTGACCATCATTTTTGTGTTGACCACCATATTTGGGCTGACCACCATATTTGGGCTGACCATCATTTTTGGGTTGACCACCAATTTTGAGTTCACCACCATATTTGGGTTGACCACCGTATTTGTGTTGGCCATAAATTTTGGGTTCACCATTATTTTTGGGCGGACAATCATTGGGCGGACAATCACTTTTGGACGGACAATCATTTTTGGGCTGACCACCATTGTTTGGCTTACCACCATTATTATTTTTTCCTCCTGAAAACTTGTTGAAGAAATTGCTAATTCCTGCACCAATAACACCACCAGCTGTTGCCACAGCTGCAGTCACCGTGGAACCAGCTGCAGCTAGAGTACCAGTCGCACCAACTGCTTGACAGGTTGCAACAAGTCCGCCTGCCGCTACCCCACCACCATTAGCCACTGCTGCAGATGACATCATTGTAGCTGCAAAAGAGCCAGCAGCTATACCACCAGATGCAAATCCAACAGCAGCGGCTGCAACTGGTGCAAGAGCTACAGCTGCACCAGCACCAAATACTGCAGCAAGAATCCAACTATACAAACAGAACAAATATACTTAGTATATATATTGATCTAATATATAATTTAGGACATTATCGATTGTCACGACATGTCTTACTCTGTGTGGCAAATAATCTGAGCCGCAAATCAACCTCGTAACGAGGTTGCTTTTTAAGGCTGGTTATATCGAAGACAAGCTAGCATGATGCTTGTGATGTTACTCTGAGTGTATATCCACACCGGGCAAGCTTGAAAAATATGTCTGACCACGGTGGGAATCGAACCTACGACCTTTGGAATGCTAGCCCAATGCTCTGCCAACTGAGCTACGCGGTCTGGCCGGTTCGAGTATGTGATATATACTGATAAGCTAGCATGGTTAGCAGAATGGCCTGGCAAACAATATCTAGCCATGAGGTTATTTTTATAGTACACATTATATATTGCCTCCAAGATGTCACTGGAAAATTATTAAGCCGAGATCTTGCTTACAGGTGTTCCATATAACTGGCACGGTTACCGGGAGGTGAAAATTTTAAAAATGCACCCGCAAGCCATTATTGTTAAGAACTGTCAAAAACAATGTCACTGTGGGATTAAATTTCTCATCAAACACTAAACATATTCATCTGGCTTATCAGGTTGTCTCGCTAACTGACTGGCCCGGCTTTCATATAAAGCAAAAACCAAAAAAATCGAATCACCAATTTCCACAAACTAGATTTTACAAAGATTCTTATGTGCAGGGCCTAGGCCCCCCGCCCCCAAGTTTTCAGAAGACACAAAAAGTGCCCTCTCTCCGGTGGCAAAGTGCCCTTTGTCTTCATGAAAAATGTTGTTCAGAAAATAACCTCCAATTCTTGACAAGTGCCCTTCAATAAATAAATGTCCATGAAACAAATAAATTTAAAGTTTGGTCGATGTTTTTTTAACAAATAAATTAAACTTTTGGTCGATGTTTTTTTTAAAAAAATGTGATTGTACATTGCAATTCGAAATGTGATTGTACGTTGCAATTCAGAATCTGAACATCACATGTGATTGGCTGTTAATAGTAAAAATATGTCAAACCAGTTTAGAAAATAAACAGTATTAAAATCATTGCCACATTTAGCAGGCTATAATTAGTTCAATGTTTGTTTATTTTCCAAACAGGTTTGACATGTTTTCGCAAACAGCCAATCACATGGGAGGTTCAGATTCTGAACCTAATCAAGTATGGAAGTGAGATTTGCAATGGATTTGACCAGAGATTCTTTCTTATATGTCGTCTCGCTGTTCTTTTAAAGCCTCTGGAATCTAATAGCTGATAACTTTACTTCAATGTTAATTTTAATTAAAATAAGGCAGAGCACTGGCACTCAATGTGTTAATGAGTTATTCATTACTGATATATACACACCTTTTCTTGCCACCACCACCCTTGCCACCATTACCACCACCCTTGCCACCATTTCCACCATTACCAGGATCACCAAATGCAGTAAGGCAAACATCATGTTTGGCACCATTACCACCACCCGTGCCACTATTACCACCACCTTTGCCACCATTACCACTAGCCTTGCCACCATTACCACCGCCCTTGCCACCATTTCCACCATGAAAAGGATCACCAAACGCAGTAAGGCGAACATCATGTTTAGCACCATTACCACCACCCATGCCACTATTACCACCACCCTTGCCACCATTACCACTAGCCTTGCCACCATTACCACCGCCCTTGCCACCATTACCAGGATCACCAAATGCAGTAAGGCAAATATCATGTTTGGCACCATTACCATCACCACCAAAACCATTGTCACCATTGCTATCACCACCACCATTGTCACCATTACCATCACTATTGTCACCATTACCATCACCAGCACCATGGTCACCATTACCATCACCACCAACACCATTGCCACCATTATCATCACAACCACTAACTGGCACCACTACCATCATCTGCATCATGTTTGGCACCATTTCTATCACCAGATTGTCACCATCATCACAGTTATTTTCATTACCAATATTACTTGCGGATTCACTCCTTATTTTTGCTTTGCCATTACCATCTTTTTTCTCATTGTTATTTATAGGTTTGAGGTCTCGATCGCCCATGACTAACCAGTATATCTAAATCATAACATATACAGATATAATCATGCAAACATACACAGAATGTAAACAAAACATTTATGTAATATTTTCTTGGAATTAACAGCGACCACAAATGCCTAAAATGAGAACAATTTTATTGTTTACAACGTTTCGGAGTATTACTAACTCCATCTTCAGGTAATAAAGATTGCAAAATAATTTCAATAAGATTTCAAGATTCAAGATTTCAAGATTCAAGATTTCAATATACTGTTCTTCTTCTTTATGGCAATCTTTATTACCTGAAGATGGAGTAATACTCCGAAACGTTGTAAACAATAAAATTGTTCTATTTTTAAGCATTTGTGGTCGCTGTTAATTCCAAGAAATTATACAAAATGAGGCTTAGAGACAGTTCGATACTAAAATTATTATGAAATATTTGTTAATTATTTAGAATTACAATAATATATGGACTGTTAACAAATGTGCATGAATTACTGCTTACCAAAAACTTCTTTCATGCAATGGCTTATTGCATTTTTCATCCGTACACCCCCTGTTGAGGACACACGGCATAAATTCTCCTACCCCCCGGATTTCCAAGTAATTTCCTACCCCCTGGATTTCCAAGGTCCTCAACATGGGGTGTACGGATAAAAAATGCAATATGCCAATGAGATATGGATATAATTGGACCATTGGGAGTATTTTACACACAACTTTTCACACAAGCACTTTATTTTAGGGTGTGTTCCTTTAGTTCAATCCGGATTTGGATCTTCAAATCCGATTATCGATTTTCAGTTTCATTTGACAAAATCTTAAAATAGATTCGAATCTGATGAATCCACCTCAATATATAGATTTTTCGGATTCAATCTGAATCTTGATTAGGATTCAACGTTCCTTTTGAGCTTCTGGCCTTCTAGCATGTACCTTGGCCCGACCGTAAGGTATAGTGGGACAGAAAACTTATTGTAAAAATGGCGGGAAAACAGCAGGCGAATTCCGATTCTCACAATTCGTTCCATTTGTTTGACGAATCCAAAGAATCCAAATCCTAAAAATCCAAATCTAGATTTACAAAAGAAACGCTCCTTAAGTGAGAAGAGAGATTTCTTATTACTTCATATCCTACATTGTTCTATATATAGTAGTTAATCAACCCATCGAGTGCCAGCACTCTCTCCTTGGCAAGTAAAATTGTCTGGCATTGGACACAGCAAAATAATAAACACTAGCCTCCCCCACAGACACCACTATTATAGAATAGTAGTCAGGGCACTAACCCTAAACCTGTCCCCTATAGAGATGCCTGCAGAGGAGCTAGGCAGCCTAGGCTGGTTAAACCATATATATAGGTGGGTACCGATCGAATATTTAATTAAACAGTCTTACAGATAAGAGAGTACTGTGCTTCGTTTCACAAGATGAAAACTGATGGCCGGTACTTTATAATATCGAACGAATATAAAGATTTAGTTTATAGCTGCGATCCATGACTATGGCAACTTTTTATAAATTCGATCTTTAAAATATTTGTTTTCATACCGTGTTAACACTGTAAACCTGATCTTTTTCTTGTAAGCCAGTCTGACTGTATTTTACAAAACAGTAACTTCGTTTTCATAGTTGTGTCACTCAGACGATATTTTGTCCGAAATTTTACGAGTGCTGACGTGGAAATACGCCATCATATGACGCCATCCTGGAGTGCACACGGAAGTTTTTCATAGGAAAACATAGGTACAAAGTTCCGTGTGCACTCCAGGATGGCGTCATAGCACGAAAAAAAATTTCGGACGTTTTCCTTCAGCCAAAACACATAGGAGTGTCCCTTCTGGTCGGGTGTAGGTAAAACATGGCCCTAGGCCATGGCCCAGGCCATGGCCCAGTGTATGGCCCTACCCTTGGCCCACCTGTTTTTTGTTTAATTTTGATGTGTAAATTATGTCAAAATTATTTTAACGTGTTGAGTTCATATACGTTTCATATATATTATAAAATATTGATTTGAGCTTATTTCTAAAATACGAAATAAATTTTGACCATGAGTCACCTAGCTGTGCGTTTTACGATTAGTACATAATCATCATAATATGGACTATTAGGCTTACTGTAGTTCACGAAACGAAACGAAACGAAACGAAACGAAATCTGGGGCCGGTTGTATAAAAACGTAGTTTGCGCTAA